AGGCGGACGGTGGCCGACGAGGTCAGGCATGGAGTGTCTGGAGCGCTGCGCGTGGGTCCTCAGGGGGACGCTGGTGAGGGCGGCGGTGCGGCGCTACCTGCCCTGGGCCTTGGTGGCCTCCATGCTGGCGGGCTCCCTCCTCAAGGAGGTCTCTCCGCTGCCCGAGAGCTATCTCAGCAACAAGCGCAACGTCCTCAACGTGTGAGTGCGCCCCGGGTCCTCTCCTGTCCCCGCCGTAGCCACTCGCTGTCGCCTCGTGCAGAGAGCCGAGGGTTAGCTCCCTTGATGGGTGGGTCATTGGAAGGGGAGGTCCTTCCCATCGTGACAACAGCATCTGCACGCGTGTCGCGATGGAGGGACCCCGGAATAGTGTCGCTAGCAAGTCGTGTTTGCACACCCAAACTAGACAGCCTGAGCTTGACTGGGCAGGGTGGTGTGTGTGTCTGTGTGTGTGTAAGGGTGTGGGGTGGGAAGGGGGGACGAACCAGCCCGTGTCGCTGCTCCCACCCTTTGGGGTGAGGAGTTGGTCTCTGCCCTAGGAGGTATGCCACCTCCTTCCTGCCTGCCACTGCCAGACCCCGCACCTCTCCCTGAGCCCGACCCTCTCCCTTCTCCCTGCTGGTGATCGAATCCCATCATATCTGGGTAGGGCAAAAAGACCTGCCCACCCCTCCACACCCCGTCCTATCCTATGACACCACCCCTCCAAGACAGTCGCCCAGGAGTGGAACCCTCCAGTCTATGAACTTTCCCCTGGATCTCCTTGGATCTTTTCAGCTACTCAAAGTTCATGGCAGTGACCCAGGAATGCAATCCCATCTGGGCTCTTTGAAACTCCTTCTTAACTCCACTCACTTACTTTTTTTTTAAACCTCTTGGATTTTAAGTTTATTGACAGAAACACTGTTGCAGTAGTAAAGGGAAACTCTGAAAGATGAAACTCCTCCCTTGATGTGAACCTAGATTCTTCAGAATTACGGTGTCTGCAGCATCTCCCAAAAGTCAGTCCAACTATGGTTGTCTACTTAAAACCTTGGTTTCTCTCTCCTAAGCTTCATCAGATGCCTGACAGCTCTTGGCTCTGGCCAGATCCCTGCATAACAGTCCCAGGGAAGATTCTCGCAACAGGCCCTGAGTGGTGTCTGAGGAAACTTTAGAACTCAGGAAAGAGTCCTTCTGTCCTTGGCCCACCTTCTTTCCTCCCTCATCCTTGGAGGCTGGGCTGATAATAGGTTATGAGAGTGGTGGTAGCCCCAAGTCTCTTGCACGTGTGTTTACTGCAGCTGGCCCATAGGTCCCCCACCTTTGATGAGCACAGGGGAGGCAGACAAGGCAGCTGCTGCTCGATCTGGCCTGTGTGAGCTGGGAGCCAAGCAGCCTGGTGAGCGAGCAAGTCCCTGTCGATTGCAGGTTGCCATGGATTCTGGTATTTTGTTCCCACACCTCTGTGCTAATTAATTAATGAAGAGAACTAGTGAATCATTGGCTCTGGAAGGGATTTTAAAAGTAATTTGTCCCCTCAGTTCTATTTAACAGTTGAGGAAGCAGGCCTGGAGAAGTGTGGTAATAAGTCAGAGTCAGGATTTGAACTTGGGTCTTCCAGCTTGAAGCCAAGCTCTTTCTGATCATTTCTGCCATATAGGAAAGAGGTAGAAAAAGCCGGAGCTTTGGGGCTGGCCAAATGTTGGTTCAGTGTATGCTTGCTGGTCCTGTGAGTGTGACCCTGGGCACGTTACCGAACCACTCTTTATAATACAGGGCAAATGATACCTTCCTCCCAGGTAATTGTGAGGGTTCCATGGGAAAGAGAATGTGTGTGTAATTACTTTCCTGAGCAAGTAGTGTAGTACTTAAGGTCATAGACCCTGGATTTGAATTCCAGCTCCATCACTCATGACTTCCACTTTGGGCATGATGCTTCTCTGTGCCTCAGTTTTCTTATCTGTAAAGTGAGGATGACAGTAGTACCTACCTCAACGAGTTGTATAAGGATTAAATAGTTAATACACTTAAAGTACATAGTAAGTGAAGTTGTTGTCTATAGCTTTTATCACTTTTTCTCATTTTCCCTCCCTTGAGAGTCTAGAGTCCTGGGTCATGACATTGTTCCCTCTCCACCGACGCCCCTCTCTTCACTTCCACTTTCCTCCTCTGCCAGGTATTTTGTCAAAATGGCCTGGGCCTGGACCTTCTGTCTCCTCCTGCCTTTCATCGCCCTCACCAACTACCACCTGACAGGCAAGGCTGGCCTGGTCCTGCGGCGGCTGAGCACCCTGCTCGTGGGCACGGCCATCTGGTACTTCTGCACGGCTATCTTCTCCAACATCGAGCACTACACGGGCAGCTGCTACCAGTCGCCAGCCCTGGAGGGGCCCAGAGAGGAGCCCCAGAGTAAGCAGCAGTGCCACGGGGAAGGAGGCTTCTGGCACGGCTTTGACATCTCAGGCCACTCCTTCCTGCTGACCTTCTGTGCCCTCATGATCGTGGAGGAGATGGCCGTGCTGCACGAGGTGAAGACGGACCGCAGCCACTACCTCCACGTGGCCATCACGACCCTGGTGGTCGCGCTGGGCTTCCTGACCGTCATCTGGGTGTGGATGTTTCTGTGCACGGCCGTGTATTTCCACAACTTGTCCCAGAAAGTGTTTGGCACCCTGTTCGGTTTGCTGGGCTGGTATGGGACCTACGGGTTTTGGTATCTGAAATCCTTTTCCCCAGGACTTCCTCCCCAGAGCTCTAGTTTGAATTTGAAGCAAGACAGTTACAAGGAATAAAAGAGAAACACAAGGGACGACAGCAGGACAGTGGCTCATACATTTTCCATTTCTGTTTCTTAGCTGTTTGACTAAATTATTGATCCAACTTCCAGGAGGAAGCTTACCAGGCAGTTTTGGTGGGTGACAGTGGAGTCTGGGGAGCGAGGTCAGGCCCCAGAGTGTTCTTGGCGGCATCACCCGGTGTCCCAAGCACAGCCATTCCCACTTGGGCACTTTGCATCCCTGGCAAGACTTGACCTTAATCTGGAATGTTCCTTTTTTTCCTTTGAGAGCCAAGCTCAGGCTCGGCGAGAGGACAGAATCAGGAAAGCCTCTACTGTGTGGCTGAAGGGGTGCAGGGCCTCAGGACTCTGCTCTGCTGCCGTCAGACTCCCCCCGGTTCTGGCTGTCTTCTGTGTTAATGGCTGTTAATGCTGTTATTTAACAATATTTCCCTCTGGTGAATTTCACGTAAGCACTTATTTCCAGCAGGGTTCTTCACAAAACAACTGACCACCTGAAAGACACACTCTGGTTGTAATATTCGCTTCATCCATGGAATGTTAAATATTACAACTGGCTTGTGATTAGCTACCAAAACGGTTAAACCCGAGTGCCTCTTCAACCGGGTATGGGATGATTTTTATGTAATGAACATTGATAACTTTCTGTCCACATTGTCTATTATATAGTGGTTTCTGGAGCATTAAGTTTACTTACTTTCCCCCTTCTATTTTGAGTGAATGCTTTCTAGTTTTTAATAACAACTAAGGTATTTGTTCTTTGTTGACAAAACTCCCGAAAATAATTCACCGCTCCGGTGCTGCGCTCTGGCATGTGTGTGGATTGTTTTGAGGGTTTTTTTAGAACACTAATTTACTTTTTGATAAACCAAACTCTTGGCTTACACTATTCAATTCAACCTCACGGGTCTGTTTTCTCTGTTAAGGAGAAAACCAGAAAGCAGACGTTTTAGTAACTTAATGAATTTTAAGCTGAGTCAGAGTAATTTCGCAAAGTGCGTATTTGCCCTGAAACTCTCCTGACCACATGTCAGTGGTATAGACTGAACAGTGCTGCGAAGTTCTGTGATTATAAGTCTTGCTGTGACTCAAGGCTTTTTACTTTTGGACAAGATTGTAAGTCAGAAGTGGAGGAAAATGTCTTCCCTTGCTTCTGATGGCAAGAAGCCAGCTCTTTTGCAAAAATGTTCTTGTTAAATGGTGGTGTGACTTTGGCCACACCTTCCTCTTACCACAGCAAACCTAGGCCTGTTCACCTGGCCTTGAACTTGATTTTCTTTCCCATTTGTTGCACTTCTCAATTTCCAGCCTTGTCCTTGGGTGGCCTTCACCGTGAGATTGCTGGGAAGGGTTGGAAACCTTGTCCCCTCCAGCCCACAAAGGCACAGTTACTGCTCTGTGGTAAGATGCTCCTTCCCCTCTCTCAGGTTGTCTCCTGAATCCTTTCAAAGGGAGCCCCTTGCATTTTGGGGAATCATCCTGGAAGCTTCTTTGATGTCCCTCCCCCTAGTCAAGCCCTGTTATAGCATCAGTCGATAAGCACTGCATTTGGCTGGCTTAGCTGAAGCTCCGGTTGTTAGAAGCCTGAGGTCTGGAAAATCTTCAGTGTAAATTGTATTGCGTATAAAGATGTACGGAGAATATGTCGTTCGTGTCCCATCCGGCCACAGGTTAACCTGTATTGATCAAAATGTGGTGTGTGATGTGTTGTACCCAAAGGTGGCAGAAACACCTGGCAGTGAGATTTTGGAGGTGTTGCCATGGTGTTTTGGGAGCATTGACAAATATGAAGGGCCCCAGGGGAATTTTTTTGCCCTCTGGAGTTTACATCCATAAACCAGGGGTGAAAGTGGGGTGGGGGAGGTGGCAGGGTCTTGTCGAAGGGATTGAAATCTCTCCTAGGTTTCTTGTTCAGCACCAAAAGGCAACAGGCACAGGGCGAGTCCAGAAGTCCATTCTTTTAAATCTCCAGGAGTTTCTCCCATGCAAGTCTGGTTCAGGCCCAGCCTTTAATGAACTCCATGGAAAGCGTCCGTTTCCCAATCTTGTACACAGGTTGGTCTGCTGCCTCTTCCTATTCAGTCTTAGCACCTTTGCCTGTCTCTTGGGAACATGCTCTTAATCTCAATGTGAGACAGCACGGTGAGGCTGAAAGAGTTTGGGTCTAGGCAAACGAGAGATGTGGGTCCAAGTCGTGGCACCAGTACTGAGAGCTGTCTGACCCTGGGCAAGGCTCATTTTCCCCATCTGTAAAATGGAAATGGTCCTGTTCGGATTAAGGGAAATGAGGCATGTAAAATGCCCAGCACATGTGCTTAGCAGGCGGTAGTCCTCCTGCCTCCGGTTTCTTGACCAAGCCTTTAGGACTTCTTGGCTCCTCTAGAGAAGGCAGGGAACCTGACATCTTCTGGGTATTGTTCGGGGCCTGGGTGTCCTGTTGAAATAGCCTTGTATTGTCCTTTGAAAAGTGTCTGTTCCCCAGGTGCTGAACAGGAGGCTTTCGAGGGCATCTGTGACCAGAGAGTACTGCGTGCTTGTTAATCTTTCCGTGTTGGGGTGCATTCACTGGTGCCTCATTTTCCACGTGCATCTGTCACAGTCTGAGTACCAGATTGTATTTGGAGAATGGTCCTTGTCACTGTTGTATACACACACAGATCGTGTTTGTAAACAGGCGTATTAAGTAAACTGGAGATCATGAAATCCCACATTCCTGCGTCCCGTGTGTTCTCTTCTAAAACCCTGAAGTCCAAAACCAGGGAGGCTCAGCCCGCTTTATGAAAGGAGAGCAACTCTGACTTGAGCTGCTTGTTATTTGTAGGGAATTTCATGGCTGTAGTCACTCTTATTTTTTTCTCCTAAATGCTGTAAACTGAGGATGTATTCAGTCATGTATTTCTTAGCTTGATTTACTCCTTCCCTCTGTGCCACATCTGTGTCTCAGTGTCCTAAGGTCTGGGTCATCCAGATTTGGGAGCAGTTTCCTTGGCAGGAGGAAGAGGATTAGGCCTCGTGGAAGGAACACAAAGAGCAGTTACAAAGTTCAGTCAAATGAGGTCGTGTGTGGCAATGCCTCGTAGCCCTGGAAGTCTGTACGCGGGTGAGGACCTTTGGTACCTCTTAGCGCCCACTCCTTTGTCAGCCTGCCCTGCTCGGCACCTCCAGGTCCTGTCTTTTGAAAGCTCAGTGGCTCCAGGATTTGAGGCCCCTCACGCTGCAGAGCTTCCCTGTTCAGATTCCATCAGCAGCACCAAACCCTTCGTGAGTTCATACTCTGAATGGGGAGCTGGGACAGGATGATAAACTCCCTCTCTCGTGGAATTTGTGGTCCGAAGTCCATCCCTCAGGGTGTGTGCTGGAATTGCAAAGGTGAATTTGCTACATCTGTGCATTTGAGGAATTTTCACTCTTGTGGGGAAGACTCACCAGGAGCCCACAACCAACATCAAATGTTCCAAGTGCTGGCCAAGGTCCGGGCCTGGGAACACAGAGCAGGGAACAACCAGCTGCCCTGGGGAATCACGGAATATTTGCGCAGGACATAAAAGTTCTGGGTCTTGAAGGATGAGGAGGAGTTCAAGCAGTTAGGCAGAGAACAGAATCCAAGGACATGGGAAAAGCAGGCACAAAGGCGCAGAGATGTGCTGCCATGATTTTTCATTCAGATATCCCTTCTCAAGAAACCTCACTTCATTGCCGAGAATAGGTTCTTGTCTTGTGCAGGAAAGAATTCAAGAGGGAGCCAAAGTAAAGTGATTTATTTGGGGAGATACATACTCCGTAGACAGAGTGCAGGCGTCTTAGAAGGCAAGATCGGCAGCCCTGAGGTGTGGGAGGGGGTGAGTTTTTATGGGCTGGGTAACTTCATATGCTAACAAGTGGGAGGGTTATTCTAACTGTTGGGGAAGGGGCGGGGACTTCTGGGATTGGGCCCCGCCACTTTTGGCCTTTGACAGTCAGCCTGGGAACTGTCCTGGTGCCCGTGGGTATGTCATTTAAAAAGCTAATATATTACAGTGAGCCTATAATGAGGCTCAGGCTCTATCAGAAGTTAGGTCTTCACCATCTTGGGCCTTGCTTGTTCCAACTAGTTTATGTCCTATCCTCAATTGCTGTGTCATTCTTTTAATAGTTGTGCCCTGCCCCCTTCCCTCCTGTCTCAACTTTCCCCTCATGTTCAAGAGCCACCAAGATTCAGGAGAAGCAGACGTAAAGGACTGTCAGTGGAGGTGATGGGTGAGGCCTGCTAGAAGCTCGAATACCTAGCTTTGAGCCGGTTTCTACCCCTGCTTTTTCTGCTCTTCTGTGTGACCTTGAACGAGTCACTCAGCATCTCTGGGTCTCAATTTCCTTGTCTGATAAATGATGGACGTGGACTGGTAAATCTCACCAACTCTTCTACTGTCTTCTGTTTCTCCGCTCGATGAAAAGTTCTTCCCGAGCTGGTGATGACTTTTATTTAAGGAAACAACGTGAAAAGAAACTCCCACTCAGCTGAGGTGGCAGCTGGCTTCCTGGTGAGTGATGGGGGAGCTGACCTCCGGGCGCGCTTACTCACAGCCTGCTTTTCTCTGTGTTGAGAGCCTAACACAGTTCAGACCTGATTGCACAGCTTCATGTAGACTTCCTGGACGTGGGGAGCTGAACCTAATTGCTGGAGGGATGAATTGTGGAAGCCTTTCTTAAAAAGTGTCCAAAATCAAACCGTGTTCAGTATCTACCAAGGAGAAGGTAGGTTCTGTTAAGAGAAACCCTCTGCAGTATAGTCCCCTTCAGAAATTGTCCCAGAGTCCCTGATACGGTCTCTGGGGAGTTTTACAGTTGAACACAGACACTGCAGAAAGCAGGTACTCCCATACCTCGTGGGGAGGGGAGTTGGTAATTTGGTCCCACATGTTCAGATGATAACCTTGTACCCAGACTTAAAACGTGCAGACCCAACACTCAGTCTAGGGGTTTAGGTGATGGAAGTGCTGTAGACACGGGTAAAGATAAGCTCAAAGATTTTATGGCAGCTATTTGTAATAGTAAAAAGTTGTCAAGATTTATCTAACTGTTGCCAATCAGTTAAATAAATTATGGTAACTCTACGTGAGGAATATAATGCAGTCACTGCAAAGAATACATGGAGTTATGTTTAGCATGGAATCTGGAGGCAGGAAGACTTTGTGTTCGTGCTGACTAGAACTTACACTCGAACTTGTGTGCCCTCGGGCAAGTCAGGGTCTCTGAGCCTGTTTCTGAGGGGTAAGATGGGGATGTGAGTGCCTCACCTCATTCAGCATCCACTGCCCAGATAGCTGAGGGGCACTGAGTGAAGCCGGCCCTGTGCTAGGCACGGTGTTAAGTCAGAGACACGGTTCTTCCCTTGGAGGGGTTTACAGCCTAGCTAGGCACAGACAATGACATGAGCAAATCCAAACAGGTACTGAGCATCAAAAGCAGAGTCCCCCCCAACCCCCGCTGACCTTGTCCCAGCTCAAGCAGAGGTGATTTACATAAAGCACTCGGAAAAGCAAAGGAGTGAGGAGGTTAATGTGGACCTGAGTCAGACTGCCTGGGTTCTAATTCTTCCTCTGCTAGACATACTGGCTGTGTGACCTTGAACAAGTTCCTTAACCTCTCAACCTCAGTTTCCTCATCTGTAAAATGGGTAAGTACCGATCTCATACAGTTGTTATGAAGATTAAATAAACTGATACTTGTAAAGGGCTTGTGTGGAACAGGACCAGTCTGTGGAAGGCACTATATAAATGTATTTCAAGTGCACAGTAAGTCCCTAACGTGCCATCAATACTGTAACTACTTTAAAATCAGGAAAAAGAAACTCCATACATGTCAGTGTTAATTCTGATCCACTCAAAGGTGGTTAGAATGTACAGTTGGTGAATGTAGGAGGCCATGTCCCAGTAATGTCTAGAATGAATAGAGTTCATTCTAGAGTAACATTCAGGATTAACTGGGGAGTGGGGGAGAGTGAGAGAGGTGTTTCCCAGGAGAGCTGAAGGGAAAGGACACCCATGTATCTGTGGGGTCCTTTTGGCCAAGGCAAAGTAGGTCCTGCTTTTGGAGGTGCTGTCCACTCACAGGTAACTTAGGGGCTGCCTGACCCTGGTTTCCAGGTTGCTTATTTTGGGGACTGGCCATATCACAAATCCCTGCCGCTTTCCCGTTGTCTCTGTCAAGGAGTGGCTCCCCGGGGTATGTGTCTGAGGTGTCTGAGTGCCTAGCGGGTGCGTAGGTAGGGGAGCCTGGGAGCCACCTCTGATTAGCATCTTAGTTTCTGGAGCAAAGTTATGCAGGCTCTGCCCGAGCAAACTGCTGTCACCCTTTTCTAGCTCTACTCCTTTCATGCCTTCTTGCCCTCTGTCTGTATTTCTTGAGCAAGTTGTGTCTGCCAGGTGCCCCCATGCTGCTGGGGAGTGATGGGGACACTGAACGGGTTGGGGCATAAACTGTCTTATCTGGAGTTATTAGACACCTTGGACTGGACTGCATTCAAATTCTGCCTATCAAACCCTCAGCTGTGTGATCTTAGCCAAGTTACTTAGCCTCTCTGGGCTTATTACTTATCTATGAAATGGGGTTAATACTTTCTTTCTACCTCAGTGGTCTTTGCTTAGCTTCATGAAATCATGGATAGGAAAATATGTTACATGCTTTAAAATGTTAGGCACCTGTGAGGGCTGCTTATTATTGGAGAGATTTACTTTGCCTGGTGAATGTCTCAGAAGCTGGGACACTGTTACTTCTGTGTGCCCCCGATAACCCTGAAATGGCTTGGTGTCGTTACTGTCATTTTTAAAATGCAGCGTGAACTAAAATTTGTAACAACTAGCATTTGTTCTGAACTTTTAAATCTGGTGCCTGACATTTTCACTGTATTGCCTCACCTGTAGCTTCCAGTTGCCCTAGGCCATAGAGAAAACAGGTGGAGGCTTTGGCTTCAGACCGGCTCTGCCACTGTATTAGTCAGCTATTGCTGTAGTAGTGCTTTGTGACAAACCACCCCCAAACCTGATGGTTTATGACAGCAAATGCTGGGCCAGCCTCAGCAGGTGAGCTCTGCTCCAGGCAGTGGGCCAGCTGGGCTTGGTTCCAGGCCATGAACTGAGCTCAGGTCTGTTCTACTTTCATGCTAAAGTCCAGATGAAAAGGGCAGCAACTGCCTGGGGCCCATTCTTCTCGTGATGAACACTGAGGCACCCAAGCCCAAGCCAAACCACATGGCACGTTTAAAGCCTCTGCTCACATCACGTTAGTCCACTAACATTCCACTGGCCCAAACAGGTCACGCAAGCCCAGCATTGATGGGGCAAGGAGTAAACTCCACCCACAGTAGGAGGTGCTACAGAGTCGCAAGGCAAGGGCCGTGGGTGTCCAATCCTGTTAGGGAATCCAATAATCCAATCTACCACTTTTACCTGGGGACTTAACTCTGAGCCTCTGTTTCCTCATCAGGAAAACATAAAAAGCAATGTTTTGCAGAGTTAGGAATAATTTATGTAAATTTCCTAGTTTATATTACTCAAAGGATGGCAGCTTTTACTATCATCAGCTCTACTTTGGAGATGATAAAACTGAGGGCTTTAGGCAGTATGGGTTCATTGCTAGGGAAGGACCATTAGGTCTTTGAAGATACGTTGAAATGGCCTAGGCAATTCATTCTGTGGCTTTGGCTGTGAGCATCTGATGAGCTGAAGAAGGTATGACCTTCAGCAGCCCTTGCTGTCCTCCCCAACAGGCATCTTCCTGGGGAGGAAGACCTTTCTCACAGTGTGAACACTGGGGGCGCCCATTGCCACAGTCCTGGTGGTGGTGGTGTCTATCTTCCTGACAAGACTGAACTTAGATAGCCCCACATCCTCTCCTTCTCTGCATTCCTTCATGGTACCTCTTAGAGGCTCAGCAGGGGGAGGAGGGTATAGATTAGTGGTAGAGTGAGTGCTTAGCATACATAAGGTCCTGGGTTCAATCCCCAGTACCTCCATTAAAAACAAACAAACAAACAAACCTAATCCTCCCCCCACCACCCCAAAAAAGAAGGCTCAGCAGATGGTGGATTCTCAGTAAATGTTTGCACGGTGACTTTTGCCCTTACCCAAGGTTCTTTCCATGACATTCTGAGAGACACTCACTGAGTGATCCTGACCAAACGCAGACATCAGCCCATCCAGGGCCTCAGTTTCCCATATGTTGAACAGGCACGTGGGGGTTCATGGAGTCTTTGAGTCTACGGGTCTCTCCAGCAGTCTGCCTGTGCATCTTCTCATTCGCAGTGATTCTGTGTGTCAGAGGCTGCTAGCTGTCCACCAAGATCTGTTCTCTTCTTCCTTAGCAATAGGCTGTCCAACCAGAGACTACATTCCCCAGCCTCCTTTACAGCTGGGTGAAGCCCTGTCCTTGCATCCTTACCCCTGGAATGTGAGCAGAAGCTATGTAACCCTCCACCATGTCTAGGGCCTTAAAATACTGGATATGTGCTTTTCCATCCTCTCTTTCCTTTCCTAGCAGATAGAACCTGGCCTCCCCACCTCAAGCCTTGGGCTCCCCTAGAAAGCCATCCATCGTCTCTTCCTTCTCTCCAGAAGTGAAATGGTCTAACCTCAGTGAGTTTGGACCATGAGAGTCAGGAGAGCTGTACTCTTGTACAGCACTGAGCCTGAACATCGTGTCTCTACCCCTCTGGCCCCAACCTTTGGAAATCAGAGCTAGACGGACAAGAAGGGTTTAGAAATGAAAAGCCACTCCTCCTCCTGGATGCTTTATTAGGGGCTTTCATTGGTTTCTAAGCATGAGCAGCAGTGACACCCAGACCCTCTCCCAACATGCAAATGGCACAGGGAAGTGGAACACCACCAGGGCTGGCAGCGTGGATGCAGAGACCCTCCCCGCGTGGCATGGTGGGGCATGGACGGGGAACCCCAAGAGTGATGGGGAAGGCAGGCATTAAAGGATATGGCTTTGGCAGAGGCTGGAGGCGGGACCTGAGGGCCATCCACCTCCAGACCCACCCCGCACTCAGGCCACCGCTGATCTTCTAAGAAAAGATCAACATGGCTTTTACTGAAAGGCCACCTCACATGGTAGGAAAACTCAACTCCTGTTGGGAAGAGGAGGATGGACACTGCCTTCAGGGACTTCTGATAAAGTGCCAGACCAAACATACTGGCCAAAACTAAGAGGGGAATGGGAGGGTGTGCTCATGGTGTTGGTCCCAGACACGGCCTGTGGTTGGATGTCACTGCCTTGGCTTGAGCCAGTGCTGTCTCAGTTCAAGTCCAGGAGAGGAATGAAGCCCCTTCTGATCTTCAGGGCCCCCCCATGGGATCTCTGGGTCTCCAGCCTCACCGGGAGGTACCACTTAGAAGAGCTGAGTCTTGATGTTGGCTTTGTCCTGTGGAAGAATTCCCTGGGCAAGAGGGAAGGGGAGGCGAGGGGTCAGACCCTTCAAGCCCCCAGCACCTCCCAGAATCTGGGACCTGGTGAATGGAATGGCCTGGGACTCACCTCAGATCCTAACCAGTCCCCATAGTTTCATCTTGAGACCTTGAATTGAAAAAAAAAAAAGGAACATTCGTGTTTTTGTTTCTCTCTCTCTCTCTCTCCCCCACCCTCACATACTTTCTCTCCTTTAGTAGAGCCGTGGCCTCAACTCACGGCATTGGCAACGTCTACTCCTAAACTATGGAATGTTTTCACACTGACAATAGAATTACTCCAAACAAGGGGCAGGAGGGGCTGTCCAAGTGTTCATGAGATGGTGTGTTACCGAGAGCTTCTTGGGAATCACACAGCACAGAGACACCGACAGCCAGACACCAAGCCCAGGGCCTGGCTTTAGATGTATTTTTTCTTGAGGTACCAGTAGGCAAAGTAGCCCATCCCACCCAGGGAGCCCATGAGGAAGGATGCCCCAAAGAAAGACGGGGGTTTCCGCTTGACCAGCCGGAACGCGTTGGGGATGACAGCCGACAGCAGAGTGGTGTGGATATCGCCGAGAACTTTTCGGAAGGCAAAGCGTTTCTGGACCCTCTCAAAGAAGGACTGCAGGTTGGGCCGGCTGCCATCTTCCCAGTATTTCTTGGACAGTCCTAGGAATTTGAGGCGGTGCAGGGTGGCTCCCAGGAGGACATCAGCGAGGGTGAAGGCACAGCCACAGAGCCACAGCTCACATTTCTGCCCTAGAGTGGAAGAGAGAGGAGTTGGGGGTGGGAGGGGTCAGCATTCTCCCCACCTCCCCCATATACTCCCTCCTCTCTTATCAACGCCTCTGGCTCCTGCCTGCCTGCCATAGCGGCTCCACATGGTCGCCCACTCCTGTACAACTTCAGTGATTTTTACCATATGTATATACTACCTCTGTTATTTTTTCTTTAAATCAACTGACTGATAAAGTGCAAATACATGTATTTAAACTCTGGACTCATATATCCCACTGCCCGTTTTTCAGCTCCACTTGGGTGTCCACTCTGCATTTGAAACTTCACATATCTAAAACTGAATTCTTGACTGTCACCTCCAAACCTACCACACTCATCCCCATGTCAGTAACAGCACCTCGATCCTTCCAGCCACTCAGCCACAAGCCTCATGCCATGTCGAAATCTTCTTTCTTTCATACCCCACATACAGTTTATCAGCAGTTCCCATCAACTTTATTTTCAAAATATATTCCAAGTTTGATATTACCTCTACTGTTACCATCCTGGTCTTAACAAATATTATCTTCTGCCCTTGTCTCCCTAAAGTCTATTCTCAGCACAGCAGCCAGAGGGATCCTGTTAAAACTTAAGTCAGATCCTGTCCTCCTCTCTGATCAAAGCCCTCTAATGACCGCCTGTGGTGGTCAGAGTAAAAGCTGCCATCCTTCCAATGGCCTGGAGGTCCTACGTGATCTGGTCCCCAGGTACCTTTCAGATCAAGGATTCTACTCTCCCCTCCCCCTTAACTCACTCTTCTTCAACCACACCAGCCTCCTTGCAGTTCCTCATTCCAGGCACGTTCCCACCCCAGGGCCTTTGCACCAGCTGTTCCCTCTGCCTGGAACACTCTTCACCTACAGAGCCGCAGGGCTTACTAGTCTTCCACCTCCTTCAGATCTTTGCTCAAATGCCAACTTCTCAGGCAGCTTCACTGACCACTCATTTAAAATTGAAACCCCAACCCCAGCAGTCACTCTCCTCCTCCCTTGCTTTGTTTTCCTCCATACAACTTAGCTCCCTCATTCCACCATGTATCGTAGATGCTCATTTTGTTTATTGCCTGTCACCGTCTACTAGAATAGAAGCTTCACGAGGGCAGGAATTTGGGTCTGTCTTGACTACAGCTGCACTTCCTGCACCTAGAACAGCGTCTGGCTCACTAAATCTTAACTTAATCAATGATGGATGAAAAAAGAAACTATATTATAAGCAATGTCATTTGCCATAAACTATGTGCAATGATAAAAGTGTGTATAAGAAAACCAAAACAAACACTATTAAGTTCCAGCTGGAGACGCTTGCCCGCCAAAAATCTCTGAGCCCAAGACTTGTTTATTTGAAGAAAGGAGCAGATATTAACACATAACCCCTTTACATACTAACATCATACTATTACTCTTTCTTTAATCAAAGGAACTGAAAAGAATAATTCTCATTATGTGGTTTTGTATTATTTATCGCCATGGTCATGTGTCATCTAAAATTAGTCTGCGTGCCTAGGAAAGACTTTGTTTTGTGCAACATGTTTCCCCCAGACGTTTAGACTTGAGATTTTGGAGCCTCTTTGGTCTCCTACATCACCTCTAGGCTCAAAACCCCTAAATTTTCCCCACTGACTACACGTTAATGTCAGATTCCTTTGCCCAACTTTTAAGCCCTTTCAGTAGTTAGTTTTGTTCAAACGTACTTCTCTGATCTTGACTTACCATGATAGGCCAACAACGTTTCTATCAAGCAAGGCACGCTCATTTCAGCCTGTGGCCCTTTGCCCCTGCTGTACCCCACGCCTGGAGTGCCCCCCCTCCGCTTCCTGTGAGGTCTGCTTTCTGCGGAAGCTTGCTTTGGCACCTTTGGAGAAGTGTTCCTTTCAGCTCAGAAGTTCCATGAGCCTAATGCCTCTACCCTCAAAGTCTGAGCATCCTGACCACACCCTGCTGTCATTCTGTGTCTTCATGTTCATTCATTTACTCATTTATCCAACAAATGTTTATCTGGTAGGATGCGCTGGGCATGAAGACTTGACAAGACACAATGCCTTCCCTCAAGGGGCTCATGGTCTCACGGGAGCAAGAGTTAAAGTGTAATGAAAGCTCTAATCAGAAGTTAGTTCTTGAATGTGGAACCTTCAAAATGCCTGTCTGACATCTGAGGGGAGATGGTGTCTGCAGTGAGAGCTACAGGTGTGCATCATCAACAGTGGGATGGCTTCATCGAGGGCATGAGTGGAGACAGAGCTGAGAACAGGACCAAGGGCTGAGCTTTGGGGCTTCAAGATTTAGATACTGGGCAACAAGAAGCAACCAGCAAAGGTGCATGAAAAGGAGCAGCCTGTGAGATGGGAGATGCCCCAGGAAAGTGCAACGTCCCAGAAGCCAAGATAAGAAAGTGGTCCAAGGAGAGAGCTCAGCTGAGTTCAGATACTGCAGAGAAGTCACAGAAGAGGAGGCTGAGAGTTGGCGATTACATTTGGCAACTGGTGACCTTGACAGGAACAGCTGGGGTAGATGCTGACGATGGAAGTCTGGTTGGAGGGAGTCCAAGAGGGAAAGGGAGGAGAGGAATTGGAGACAGCGAGCAAAGGTCACCCTTTCAAGGAGTTTTGCTGTAGTGAGAAGGACACACCCATAATGTGAGATGGGTCAAGAGAGTTTTTGTAAGTTGGGAAGAAAAGACCAGCACGTTGATGGGAATGATCGAGCCGAGATGAGAAGTGATGCTACAGGAGAGAGTGGAGAGTGACTGATGGGGATCCTTGAGTGGATGAGTGAGCA